TTAACTGTCACATAATAAACATTTATTCTAAGAAAAGGCAATACATATATTGACATAAATATTGAATGCTTTCACTTATAATTTATTTTCTTTAATGCTCTTTTTGATAGGATAGTTTTTACACAGCCTTTTTAATGATGAATATTGCACCTAATGAAGCTGAACATGAAAAATTATTAAATAAAAAACACTTTTCATGTATTTCATTTCTATACTGTAACTGTATTTTTATCCAGTTAAATTTGTAATATCATTACCCAAACATGGACAATAGTTGTAGGTTTAGTAACACAAAAAAAAATATATATAGCAATATCAATACCAAGCAATTTCTGATTGGTGCCATGAAGAGAATATGTTATTAGTCATGGTGTGTTTAAGCAAAAAAGTAATGCTGAAATTTAAACACCATATTACCAGCTTTTTTTCAAGTGACATGTAACAGGGAAGATTTTCCACATAATTTAGAAACACCATGACACTGGTGACACATCTAGTACTAATATCAGCTTCTTAACCCTGCTGTGAATGTGTAATGTCGATGTTCTATTTTGTGATTTTATTAAGTCAATAACTTTATTACAAAACTGGGAAATAGAACCACCTTTGTAGTGTAGAAAACTGCCACCCTGTGTAGTAGAAACTTTCACTCATACGTCTTACATCTCAAGAAACTTTCACTATTGTTCAAAGTCTCTTTGAATAATGCAGTCCTCTGTCAAGCTCAGAACAAAAAGACCCCATATTCGAGGCGAGATTTGAGATTTAACAAAACCTTTATTTTAGACAGAAGTGCAGAGAACAACGTCGGTGTCTAAGGCAGGAACCTCTGCAGGAGGAGAACACAGGTTAGTGAGCACGTCTATCTGGCAGAGGATGATAATGAACGTCTGAGTCACTAACCTGGTCTTAAAGTTCAGTCCGAGCCTAGAGGACCAGGCAGACAAAGGAAAGCAGGATAATCCAGAGGGCAAAACTAAAGCCGGTGTAAGAGATGTGCTCGGTAGTCAGAACCAGGAGATCAGAGATTTGAAGAGGTGCCGAAGGGAAAACCAGAACAGAGTTGGGAAACGTTTCCAAATTTGGTAAAGACGCAGCAAGAATTGAATTAGCACTACCATTGCTAGTGTCATCAGCTGTAAGACATTGACGTCCACTGCTGATGTTGTTGGTTCGAGACCTTAGACATTTGAAAGTTACGATAATACTTAACAATTATTTTAGCTAATGTGACTAATTCTTATTGGTTTGCCCTATTACAAATATAGATTGGGTAAAAACACTGCCAAATTAGATTGGTTTCGCCAAAAGATTGGTTGAACACATAACTTCCAACCAGATTAAAACCAAAATCTGTGGAAGTACTATTATGTTTGAATAAAAATGACCAACACCTTTCATTTTGCTCATCATTCCCCAGTTGGCACACGCACTTCCACCGTCTGCTTGAGTTTATTTTACTAAAATGGCAGAAAAACAGTGTACCTTAAATTATTGTTGTTTTCTGAGACATTTTATACTCAAAAAAAACGTACAAAAGATTTTATGATGTATACCAATCATTAACAATATCAAAGGAACTTAAATGGGAAAAACAACAAGAAAAACAACTGCAAAAAATCAAAGATTATATAACTAACTGTGGTTATGCGCTCCACCAGTAGGTGGTGACATGTTCACATGAAGCTTCATGAACTGTGGGGATCGTTAAAGCATTTGGCCAAATTGTTCAATGCCTCATGAGGCTTCATCTCACCATCACTATCTCTCTGTTTAAAGGCCTAAATAATCTGGCATTGATGACTGGTTTAAAGGCTTGATAAATAGAGGCTGAAGCAGATGCATCGGATGAGCAGTAATGAGGACTGGGCGGAGATAAGCAGGTGAATGAAATAAGGAATTATCTCATGATCTCAAGATCATGACAATCCTCTGAGGCCTGTAGAGGTTTCACTGCTAAATATAAAAGTTTCTCTTGTATGGACTCCAATGTCTGTGGTTAGTGGTGGAGACATGCATACCCGATAAGCATCTTTGGCAGTTAAGATTGGATAGAAGAGCAATTTGTGTTGAGCAGCTATCAAAAAACCTACTGTGAATTTAAGCTAAAAGAAAAGAGTGCAACCCGATGGTTGTCTGGTTCAATCAATGTTGTTTCTTAAAGAGTTTCTCCAACGGTAAAAAATAAAACCTGTGAACAAATCCATTCCAGAAATGTATAAATAGCATAGTTTTACTGAATAGACAAGTAGGAGGTGCAAACACATGAAATGCATTTAGAGTGGTGTCTCGGTAATGAAAATCTAGCATTGGAGGAGGGTCCCAGTGTAACTGAGGAAACCATCGGCTTGTCTAAAGGACTGATTTATAGACACAACATTTAATTTAGATTGTGTGCTGCATACAGTAAATCACAGAGCAGATATCAGCCGAAGGGGTTATGCTGTAATCAATCAATTCATTTATAAACAAGCTAACAAGAATGAATGAGTGTAAGATAATTGGCAGTCTCTCCTTTATGCCTGTCTGTTACTTAATGTAGCAGAGGCAGTTGTTTAAATATGAATGATTGTAAGAACCAAACTACATTACAGCAATGAAGTTAATAATAAACATACAAGCTGCTAATGTATGTGTGCTTCTGTGTTGGAGAAGTAGAGAGCAGTGGTGGTGAAAAGGACAAATAAAGAGAAATGAGGCTAGGCGGTGGGTCATTAATGTTCACTTTGATAGAACAGAGAACCTGGGGACTAAAACAAAAACTTCTGGATAGGCACCTGAGTAAATCAAAGGTGAAAAAAAAAATGTTTAAAACTGTGAAGTATCAAGTTTTTTTTTTTTTTTTTTTTTTTTTTTTATAAACTCATGTACTTTGTATTAATAAATTATTTCCAAGTATTTATTGATCTGTTTGGTCCAAAGTTCCACATAAATCGATTTCTTTGTTTGCCAGATATAATATCAATCAAAAAGTGTCATGATCTGAAATGCAACATATTCTAAAAATAAATAGAGCAAGAAAAATTAAAGCATAAAAAAAATCATGAAACCCTTAATAGGGTTTTATATTTATCTATATATTTGGTTACAGTTCCTTTTTTAGTAGTACCATAGTTTTATAATGTTCTATTTGAGCTCTTACAAATTGATACAATGAGCCATTTGTTACCTGTATATCGTATAAAAATAACAGTTAAACATAACATCTAGTTTTGTAGTTTGGTTTATTTTGGTTGTTTTGAGTAAAGTGGAATTGTTTGGGGGTGGTGTTTTTCTTTGGTAAGCCTCATCTTCATTTTTCTAAAAAGGTAAATTGATTTTACAATTTTATTTTATTTATTTATTTATTTTGCTTAAATATTCCTAAAAGGAGAACGCATGAATTAAAGATTTAAAAAGTCAAAGCTCATTGTGAAATACTCATGTCAGCCCTTTCCCTCTCGAAGCAGGTGTGCACCGGACTGCACCATTGGAGAATTGAAGGGGGGGAGTTTGGGTTCATGTATGGTGTTTTCTATGTTAATTGTGGAGTATTTGTTTAGTTTGAATTAAAAAAAAAAATTCTCTTTTGTCTTGATTGGTAAATGTATTTCTTTATTAGCTGTTCAATTAAAACAAATTTTCTTTTTTTGTTGTAATTTTACAGCTGATATCCTTTTATAATGGTTTATTCCAATTTAGTTCCACCTGTATATAAAACACATGTCTGCCATTGTTCTGTTTTGGTTTATGTGCTGCACTGAAATGAAAGAGGTTTCAGCTTAAAACTCTTTGAAGCATGTTTTTCTTTCAACCGGTTTGGGTCCCACCTCCAAGACTGCTTGCCCTGCTGACAAGCATGTAACACAAATTAAAGAGCTTGTTAAGTCTTCTGTGTTTGGAGCTGTTGACAGCAGCTTTTTAGGCATCATTTGAAGTGGTCTATTAAAAAAATATATATATATATATAACACCAGCTTGGACAGCCTGTTTTATATTTTTTCATGCGTGAATCCATTAAAGTTTGTTTACCTTAATGATATTCATGATCATTTGATTCATAACTGAATCGATTTCATTTGATTGACCGATATAATTTATTTAGAAAAAATTAACTAAGACCTAAATGGAAGAACGCAGGAACATTTGCTGACTCTGATGTATGCATGCTTCCCCTCACAGCCCTGAACACTTCTGCTACAAATAACGTTATTACAGCACAATCCATTAGCTCCTATAGTGATGTGTTATTAGATATTCACTCAAGCTTACATAGTTACATAGTCTCATCAAAATCACTGCAGAGTGCAAACAGCAAACTGCAGAGTCTGGCAAAGACTACTCGTACCACATAACAATAATAAAACTGAAGGTCAGTGGTGCCGTCCCATCTGGTTACAGTTTTTTCTTTCATTGTTTTCCTCAGTATCCTCAGGTTTTCTGCTGAATCACAGCTCAACAATGTAGCTGCACCCACACTTTTCTGTTTCTTTGACTTTGACTTTACATATATGTCCTCCCTCGCTTCCTCTTTGCCTCTTTGTTTTCTTTTTTTTAAGTCTCTTATATTAACTTTTCTCTTTTCTTTTCACCTCTGCTGCCTTTGAATCCCTTCAGACATCTGATTCTCAGAATTTTAATGTGTTGCACTTCTTACTCATCATTCCCGCTGGCAAAAGGTTTTGTGACTGATAATTTATTGATGTGACAAATGTTGCGTTAACCTTGACCTTAAAGTCATTAAAGATTAGGAAGAAGAGCCATTTTAAGAGATATATAAAAAATGATATTCGTTACATTACAGTTAACAATGTTCTGTTGGATCAAGCGCCAAGCTTTGAATAATTAGATTTGGTTAGATGATTTAAAGCTTTTTATTCTCACTTTGCCACCATGATTTCTTTAAGCTTAGAAGAAATTAAATCTGCATTAATATTTTTTGTGAGGATAAAACATCCATGTGTTTTTTTCATGTACATGGTGCTCACCAACTTTCCTTTTTCTTTGTTTGTATTTTTCAGCTTTTCAGAAATAAAGCAGTGGAGCTGGGAGAAAAGCTGCTACCAGCCTTTAACACACCAACAGGGATCCCCAGAGGAGTCATCAACTTGGGGAGGTGAGGCTCAGCCGCAGTCTTCCACTCTAACTGTCATCCAACTGCAAAAGGCCATCAGAAAACCTAGACTCAATCAGTCCCCAGTCTATTTATATACCACTATAAATTAGTGAACAAAGAAAGAAAATATATGTTGTGCGTCTGTTAGTTAGTGTGTAAAAGGGAAATTCTCAAATTCAAATGTAATATCATATATAAACCTTACTCAAGTCAGTAATTGTATACAAAAAGGGAAGCCTGTTTTGCACACTGGTGTTTATCTCTTGAAATATGGTTGATATAAATTTTGGTTGATATCTTATGACCAGAGATTGGTAGAGTAGCCAGGATTTGTACTTGGATAAAAACATCAACACTTGATATAGGTTATTTTTAGGTTAAAGTAAAAAAGTGTCATCCACAAAAAAATAAATAAAAGGCTACTAAGTACTTATGTAGGAATGATTAATCTTATTCAATTTTATAAGTTTATTGATCCATATTTTGATATTTTTAATTATATTAATATATAATAAATTACATTATTATAATAAATTATAATTTTGGCTGAAGAAACACTCCTGAATCCTAAAATGTAAAAGTTTTTAACAAATTCTCACCATTGGGGATGTATACATTTAAGAACCAACCAAAGTGCTTCCATTAACAAATATCTGCTTTTTACTGTTCACTTTCTCTCCAAGTGGCACCAACCAAAAATACCTCCAGACAAAGATATGTGGGTCTGGGTCTTGTGAAACTGATTAAAACATGTTTGATTCATCATTCAGTGAAGTAACTCAAGTGGGTAGGGTACAAAAAATTCTACTCAAGCATTAGTAACATTACTTCAAAATAACGTTACTTAAAATGGAGGTTAAAGAAATGTTAATGTAGAGCTACTCTTAGAAGTAGGTGTTTTTTTTTTTTTAAAGCTCGTCCAGGAATTGTAAAAGAGGAAATTTTAGTTACGACCCAACTTTACTAACAGCTAATGATAAACAAAAGCTCAGATTCCCACAAAATTAAAATGTTACATTAAAATACCAAATTATGTTCCCTCCAACTAGGGCTCTTTTAAACTTTTTCTGCATCAAAGTGGCCTGTTGCCGAAAATTACTGACAATAGTTGCTGCAACCACGTTCTTGGTTATATCAGGTCTAATCCAACCTTTATTGGTAACTGTAGATCGTGCTTTACTAAGCCCACAGATTAAGCTAATGCGTGACCAGTTTTACACGCCGCCATGCAAGCGTATAGTAGAACACGCTTGCATGGGTTAGCAACAAAGTTTGTATTTTGATTTCTAAGTTAAACACAAAACGAACTATTACCTCAACATAGGCCTTTAAACCACTAATCAAAATTATTTTTTCTATATCCAAAATCAGATTCTTTTGTCATAACTTGTGTAGTATTGATCTAAAATACGGAATGCAGTGGCTCTTCAAATACTGATTCCAGCTAGTGTCCATGCCTGAGGAAAATTTAAACCAAACTCTTTAACGGCCAGTCTTTTCTAATATTTTCTTCCTCTTTTATTTTAAAACACTTTAATACAACAATGAACAGACAGCCTCTCTTAGAAATATTATTTGTGAACTTCCCAACTTGATAAGTGCCTGCTGGATAGGTGTCAGTCACATACAAATAAGTTCTAAAAATCTTTTTTAGTATGTAATATTTTTTCTTTCAGAACTTTTATTTGGGCTTTTAGTAGATGCAAGCCCATCCACAAACATCAACAGAATAAATCAGCTGAAATACATCTGTAATACATTTTAAAGATGTTAGACAGACCATAGAGGAAAAAAAACATATAAATTGCAATCTGCATCCAGTATTTAATATTTACATACATTTTAAATAAGGCAAAAATACTTCACCGCAGACTCAGTTTTATTATCGATGACTGTTGAGTGACAAATATTTTGTTTTTTAATGGTTTAATGGTTTTTTAATGATTTGAATAATATCTGCATGGCTGCTGTTGATATTTTATCCTCTATTACTTATTGCCTTTTCAGCTAAATCTTTAGTGACAGTTTTATTAATACCAGTCATGCATAACTACTTTAAGCTCTTTTTTTTTATCTTCGTTTACCTTCTGATCTTTGCATCTTTTCATCTTTTCATCTGAGTTTAAGAATTTTTGTGCAGAAACAAAGATATAGAAGCTTAACAGAAGCAGATCTGATGAAACGATAAATGCTGATAAAATACTGTTTTTTGCTGTGAAATCAAATTATCATTGTGAGCTTGTAATCCTGTGGCGTTATTCTTCTGTGATTTTACTATGCATGAACACAAAGCCAAAAATGCCATATCATATGTTCCCTTTTGAGATTTTATCTAAAATATCTAACAACGCTTGATTGAATAATCTCTTTTTGACTCCTTTGTAAATCCCACTGTTGTTAGTCCTTCTTCTCTCTTCTCCTAATCATATCTTCTTTTCTGGCACCTCTGTCATCCACCTGCTACCAATTACACTCGCAGCCACACTGGGCAGCTGCTGGTAGATTTAATTACCTTATTCTCCAGTTAATTGCTGAAACATCACCAGCATGTGCCGATGTTGCAGATGGACAACGAGAGCCATGCCGCTTATTAGATAAAAAAACAAAATAAACCCCCCAAAAAATGCATCAACAATGTGTTAGTGAACCATATACGCAATCTTAAGGTGTACTGTAAGTTATCTTATCTTGCTTAAAATGGAATTGAATGAACTTATTTTGTCCCCTTGGCAAGGAGTTTATCATTTCTTTGCTGCAAATCAAGAAGGATTAAAAGTTCAGATGAAGGAACATGGGCATACAGGCAATATGCACATAAAAAAAAAGAGATAGACAACATGAATGAAAAACACAGACATAAGTTCTCAACCATTTACCAGTTGAATGAGAAATTAAAAGATATTATATTGAGGAATAAAGACTTGTATATACTGCTATGGGTGTGTATTTTTAACCAAATTACTTACTAATAGATATATCTGTAGAACTGAATGGCTTACTTTAATAAAGCTACAGCTTAAGATTATGTTTTGAGTCAAATAATTAACTTTTTTTTTTTAAATCTGTGATAGTGCAAAGACAGAATATATGAATCCATAAACATCAAAATAGGCAAATATACCCAGATCCAAGTGGAAATCAGTTTCAGCCATTTATACTGTATGTATGTATGTATGTATATATATATATATATATATATATTTATATATATAAAATGTTCTAACAGTTAGATATTTAATGTAATGTCCTCAATTTGCAGGACATTAGAGTGTGCGTCTTGTTAACTCAAATTCTTTTTTTCTGAAGTCTACTAAAATGGCTTGAGTTTCTTAAAAGGGGTAAAAAGATAAATGAATTTGTGCCTGTAATGCTCATCCATCTTCTAACACACCACCTGCTGATCTGCACCTCTTTGTAGATGCTCTGACTGATTCCTCATAAACAGAAAACCACGTATGACTTCAGCCAGCACGACTAATGATATAGCACGCAAAGCTTTAATGGGTGCATTCATCAAAGCACAGAATCAGATGCCTGCTTCTCCCTAGTTTTTCTTCCATATATCCACCCTCCTCCTAACAATCCAGCTCAGTTCATTATCCGTTATCTGATATTCTTCAACAAGATCTTCCTGTAGTCCACTTTGTCCTCACCGATCATTTCTGACTGAATCATTTTCATAAATTTGGTGATGTTACTGATACATTTTATTCTCTAATGGTGCATTTCTTTCATCATATCATTTCTTGTCCATTTTTGAAGCTTTCATGAGGGATAATTTTTAAGTTCACTTGAAAAACTTTACGTTAGTCATAACTGGCATTAGAAATGACATATGCTGAAGGTTGTTTCAGGGATTTTACTTTTAAAATGTGCAACTTAGATTGTTACACATGTCTAACAAAATTATTTAGTGTATGGAATTCATTTTCACCATCGTAAAATAAAAAATTTCAGCCCTGTGTTCTGCTGCTGACTTCTAATTTACTGCCTCACAGCATTTTACTGAGAAATATTAAACTATTTGCATGTATAATACCTTCTTTCTATTACTGGATCTTGTGTCACAAATCTCTTCTTCTTAACTACCATCATTTCTCTGTTATTGGTTTTGGTTTCAGTTCATTCCACTCACATAATCCCTTTGGAAAAAAAATCCTATAAAGGTCTATATTGGGTCACAAACTTTTCAGTTTAAGTGTGATTTAATTACATAGCAGTAAAATTTAGTTTATAAAGCCAAGGGGTTGAAATTATATTTATAGGGAATTAAATTACATTTTAAAAAATCCTTAAAATACTCATAATTATCTTTCCTAAATATTCTTTCTGTTGCAGTGGCACCAGTTGGAGCTGGGGCTGGGCTTCAGCTGGCAGCAGCATCTTGGCTGAGTTTGGGACCCTTCACCTTGAATTTGTGCATCTGACAGAGCTATCTAAGAATCCTGTCTTTGAAGAGAAGGTACATATTACTCAATAATAACCTTATTTTATGTAGTTTTAACTTGTTTTATTAACTTCTTTTAACAGTTGAAGTATTACATGTTCACTTTCTTTAGTTTTAATTAAATTAGCTTTATTTATCTTTTTTCACTGACTATAACTATGAAACTAATAAGATCTGATTATGGCAGGTGATGAGCATCAGAAAGCTCCTGAACAAGATCGAGAAACCTCACGGCTTGTATCCCAACTTCCTCAGTCCAGTCAGCGGCAACTGGGTCCAGCGTAAGTGTTGTAGTTTATGTAGAAGAGTAATTTAGGGACCTAAAAATATTTTTGTCCTTAGGTCAGTTTTATAATACTGGTTCTTCTCTAAAGGTTAACCGTTTTCTTATTGGTCAAAGAGGATTGCAATAAACCTGAAAGGCAAATAAGTCTTGGAGATTTTATGCCATTTTGTTTTTTTTTTTATGTTGCATAACTTCTGTTATGTTCTCCATAGTATTAGTTAGGATCACAAGAAAGTTAAGTCCTTGGACTTACTTTCTACCTTTTCTTATCCATTGTACAAACTGTAAACAGATCGTACAATGGATAAGAAGTACGAACTGTAAGTTGTCATATATGTTCAAAGCACTTTTTGGTGCTCTTCTGACAATCGCCCTCCTTTCAGTTCAAACATCACTTAGTACCACTGACAATCAGACAACCATCGCTCTGGGTTATTTGAATAATAATAAGTTAGTTTGTAAAAATAGGTATTTTCAAATTACCTATGAGGCAGTGGGGGAGGGGCTTAAGGTGATAAGATGGTTATGTGGGGGGAATGGTGCTAATCTGTATTATTATAGCAGCTAATTGTTGTGGAGGAGCATGCAGGGAAACTGAACAGTACATAAATATCTGCAGAAAGAAAAATAAGCTCCGGCTCCCCTCGTTTGTCTGTGTCAAGGACAAATGCAACAGCACAGCGATAACCTTGTGAAGGAGTCTGCTGAGGTATTTGTGTTTGAGTGGAACCAGAGGAATAGACAGACCTGCGCTTGTCTCCGCTGTGATATCATACTCATTGTTATTCAATGTTGACAGCAAGAGGAAAATAGAGCTTGTGATTCTTTTATTTTTTTTTGTTTTCTTTTGGAAAATGTGTGTGGTGAATATTAATGTTTTTTTTTGTTTTTTTGGAGAAAGCTCATTTCCAATTTGTGAACTTTTAAGACTTTAATGCCAAACCCAATCATACTGATTACATTTTAGTGCTTCTATGATTAGGTCAATTAAATTTAGTGAATTAAGAATAACTCAGATTAACTCAAGGGACTAAACTGCTTGCATGGACTTTACTGCTGGTTCAACCTACAATGAGTATGCTTTTTGTATGTAGTAATTTTTTAACTGTGTAGAGGAATTTAAATACAATTGTTTTTTTTTATTATTAAATATTAGAAAATGTTATGTTGAAATTATTTATGGAAGTGTTGATTTTTCCTCTTTTCCTTTTTTTTTTTAGATCATGTTTCCATCGGTGGCCTCGGAGATAGTTTCTACGAGTATTTGATCAAATCCTTCCTAATGTCAGACAAGACAGATGTGGAAGCAAAGAAGATGTATTACAGTGCACTTGATGTATGGAAATCTTTATCTTTTTTATATCTTTACTCCTCTCAGAGGACATGCATGTATCCAAAAGTAAAATATCACAGAATAATTCCTTCTAATTTATCAAAGCTTTTATACCCAATTCAAATCAAACAATGTTTAGGAGTAAATGCTGCCTGATTAAATTAAATTAAAATTAAATTGAACTTTATTGATTTCACAATGGTGAAATTAACTCTCTGCATTTAACCCATACCCTTTAGGGAGCTGTGGGCTGCCACTGTGCAGCGCCCTCTGAGCAATCGGGGGTTAAGGGTCTTGCTCAGAGCTCCAGAGTAGCAGTCTGTGGGAGTGGGTTTCGAAATCACAACCTCAGGATTCCAAGCCCTATGCCCTAACCACTAAGCCGCCACTTCAGAAATGCTTTTACTTGGTAGTTATATCCATCAAATGAACAGGAAAACAACAGTTTAATATACCTGACCAGCTGACTACTGATCAGAACATAGTGTATATCTAGATGGGACTTTCTTGTTAATGAAAACTACAGAGCCAACTTGTATATTACTGGTATAAAGCAGTAAAGTGTGGAGAATATCTGTGCTAGAAAGGCTGTAGGTTTTCTTTCATCAGCTTTGCAGCTGTATAAGGCGTTTTTAATTACTGGAAAACCCATATTTTAAACAGAGTTTAGTCACCATATTCAATATAACACCTAGATTGGTCAATACCAGGTGACCTTTGTTAGATATAGTCAAAAAAAAATTATGTAGAATGCTTTGAGACCTCACATACAGTAAAATGACCTACTGTGAGGGTGTAGCATGCACAGGCTGAAATACTATTTACAGAAAGTTGAATTCAGAACTTTTGGCTTCATATCTAACATTAAAATGCAACTAAGAGGACATTAAACATGTTTTGTGGGAAGTATCTAAAACCTCTTAATATATGAACAATAAAAAATAGAATCTTTCTATATGCAGTAGGATAACTTCAAGCTGCTTTTAGGATTACCTAATTTACCATCAAAGGGTCAAGCCTAAGGCAAAATACTAATTATGAATTATCCTTCTTCATTATGACTCAGAATTTATTGCCAAGGACCAAAGATGAATTATATATTATCTGATTCATGTCTGTTCAAAAATCTAAGGTGAGGGCAAAGTGCAGCTAATTACCTTTGGGATTGGAATAAAAATGGACTGCTAATTAAAACAACGTTAAATGAGAAAACATTTTCCAATTATGCTCTGCTATGATTACCAGTAACAACCGCTAATTAGTGTCTAAATTATCAGTCTAAAGCCTAAGGAAAATATACTTTCTTAGAACAGGGGGACTATATTTTATTGTTCCATATATTAATGTATTGTTTTCTGTTTTCAGAACTGCATCCTTGTTGCAGCATTCTTATCATTGGTATACAACGTTCAATAATAAACTGGCTGGCTATCAATTAATTACATATGGGAACTAAACATGCTGGAGATAATATTTTAATTTTCAGGTTGATTAAAATAACATAATTAAAAGAATACACATTAGTTACAATGGGTCTGGAACTTCTTTAACTTAAGTTGTTGAATTGTTTTCTAATTTAGCATATCTATATTTAAAGTCAACCTAAGCTGCTGGGCAGTCAGATTTATATAGAGAAAGATTTGCATGTGTTTTCAGTGAGAATCCTTATTTTGTTTTTTTGTTTTTTTAAATATTAAAAGAGCAACACCTGGGGAGAAACACATTTTATAGAAATTATTTTGTAGATGACTCCGATGCACTGTGCTGTTGTCATGCAGACCTCTTCCCCCACATAGAGAATAACTTACTTTCCAAAATTTCTAACTAAGTTTGTTGAATTTTTTGAGGTTTCAGCCCAAAATTAAATATTCTTCTACTTTGTTGCTGCAGGCGATTGAAGCTAACCTGGTGCAGAAGTCACCTGGTGGCCTCACCTACATGGCTGAGTGGAGGGGCGGCATCTTGGACCACAAGATGGGTCACCTGGCCTGCTTCTCTGGGGGCATGATTGGCATCGGAGCTGATGATGGTGTACCAGAGAAGAGGCAGCATTACCTTGACCTCGCTGCCGAAATCACACACACATGCCATGAGAGCTACACCCGCTCAAGTAAGTGGACGTATCAGGGAGATTCAAAGCAGGGTGTCAGCATTTAGATGGTTCCCTGTTATGCTTTTGAGTTCTATAAGACAATCTGTGATGCATTGCTCTACTGTTCTAGTTCTATTGTCACTATTAGAAATAGATTTTTCAAAGAAGTTGAATAAAATATTAAGACAGAACTAAGTAGTTATTCTTTGTAACTATTAAAAACAGTTTGTTAAAAAACAATAAATGTTTGTGTTGCTGTACTTTTATGTTACACTCATATAGATTTGACCTCCACCAAGGAAGTCATCTTTTTACGAGAGTTTGTTTTTTCGTCAGTCTGTCTGTCTGTGTACAGCATGACTTAAAATCTTTTAAACAAATGTTTATTACATTTATACCAGAGGTTCCAGATCATAATAGAGATACAGGATTTTTTTTTCCAAAGGATTCTTTAACATTGTGAGATAGTGATTTACGGAGGAAACAAGCAGTCCCCCCCAAAACCAGAGGGTGGCAGAAGTGACTATTGACAGCTTCACCATTGGACTCCAAAGGTCATGTTCCAGACATGCAAAATTTAGATAAAGGTGTTGGTCACAATATGATGCAAAATCTGCTGCTTGGCAGAGGCCTGCGCTCTCTGAGTACTTTTTTTGTGTTTACATATTGAGATTATGTGCATATGATTACTGTTCTGAGTCTACAAATACTAAAGGAAAGTTAAGTGGATTGAGAGAAAACGGTACAAAAAGCACAAAACCAACATGATGACAGTGGCCTTAAGAGTATTGTTAGGTATGCCACTTGAAATATAACTGTAATGAATATTTCTTTTAATTGAATAACTGAATATATTTCTCCTGTCTGACACTGCAGCTCACAAGCATAAAACATATAATCATTTAAACATAGCACTAAAGACATCAAATTTAGAATCATTTCATATATGACATCTTAAAATATCATTATCTTAGTTCCTGTATCTTCATGGGTCTCACCTCTTAGATTTAGCTCTACCTTTTTCGATATCTTCCAAGGTCTGATGCGCTAATTATTCATATCTGTGCTTCTTGCTCTCTTTTCTGTTTTGTATAATATATATATATATGTGTATAATATATATTAGGAGATATTAATCTCTATTTTATGCTGCCTATTTCTTGTTAGGAAAGGTTAATGTGGAAGATGGCAAGAAAACAGACTAGGGAAGTGAAGCTGAAAATGAAAATGGCCTCAGGCTTTTTAATTTTTATCAATGAAAGGAAGAAGCTTTCTAGGTGGTTGCATCTCAAGAGATAGGGAAAAGGGCCAATGTAAAAGGAAGCACATTACATTTATTCTCAGCACAGAAGTAGTTTCTAAAACTAAGAGTCATTTGAGGAGGAAATCTAAAACTTATGCAGCTAGTTTTGACTCCACTCTGAAATAGTGGTTAGACTTGGCACCAAAAGATCCTAAAGTTGCACAGGAGGAAAAGTTTCTGCACCATAAATTTAAATAAATTGTGTAAATTGACTGTTGGTTTTATTGGATTCATATTTTTATTTTACTTCTCAGATGAGCCAAATGAGCCAAAATTGACTAATTGTTCAACTCATAAATACTTTATTAATTCTAAACGGATATAAAGTGTTGTTGTTACTTTTTTATTTCTTCTCCATAGGGTTGTGGATGTTTATAGCTGTAGGTAGGAAGGATCTCCTGCAGTGCTCTGTCTTTATCTTTCCTATACAACAAATTATATAAAATTCTTTGAACACTTTGAATCTTCAAACCCAATAAGCTTCTCCAGCTTTCCTTTTTGTGATCGGCAACCAGGTTCTATTGCTGAACTATTTTGAATACTAAGCATATTTTCATTAGTAGACCTCATCAAAACATTGCAGTCAAGTTTTGGATTTGAAAATAAGGGAAATTTTGCAACATCTGCTGCGAGCCACCCGACTACCAGTCCAACTCCTATATGCATTATATTTTAAGACATGCACAAGAAATTTAAAGTAAATTCCTGGCCAAAACGGGAGACTTGACAGCTATCCATCAAAGAGCGATAAAATATATGAATTTGTCCCCAATTACTTCCTTGCACTCTATGTGTATCTAAACTCTGATACCATGAAGGTTTATTGTTGCTGCTATTTTAAATCTCTCAGCTTTTCAACCAGTAACTGATGGGCAGAAACCAGTAAAGAGAGAGAAAGGTCAGTTTCAGTATGAACATTTAAGCAACGTCTTGCACTCTGGTAAAAAGATCTAGCACAAAACTGAATACAAAAGTGAGTTCTTATTCCTAGTTAAGGGGAATTTCTATCTAAGAGTTAATTTTGCACAAAATGCATGTTAGCACTGACTGGTTCAGTCTTGACCTTTTCAGAGAAAATGTTGCCCTCAAGTATTTAATATGATTGAGTGACTCAAGCAAAGCCTCTCAATACTGTCTGAAGCTTACACCCTATTTTGTAAGAAGCTGCGGTTAAAGCTTAAAGGCAACTGAAAAGTAATATCTCTAGATATGTTATTCAAATTTCTCAGTGCAGTCTAAAAGCAGTTGATTTACATGGTATCCATATAAAAATGGCAAAAGACAAGAGCGGTGAAGTGGCCAAAGGTGAACGCCATGAGTCTGGCCAGACGCTGTCTCTCCCCAGCACTGCTGCTCTCTGCCCAGCTAGATAAAAGGAAGTACTGACTAATCCAACTGTCCTCCTAAGGCAGTTCTTGGAGTAGGTGTTGGTAATCTCCAAACTGTTTCTGTCTATATATTGGTTGGACCAATAGACATTGATGGTGTTGGATCTGTCAGTCGCTCGATAAAATCCCTGCCAGATTTAGCTATAAACTGTCGCACTGATTAGTGGACAATAGTTTAAAATAATGCCTTTGTTGACCTTGCATTGTTAATGTAGAACATACTTTCAATTTCTAGGAGAAATTAAAGAGTGTTTATACTTTGACTGTCCTAAGATTCACTGGCATGTTGTACAACAACAGATCGGCGCTTTGATTTACAAACTGTTGGTTACTAGCAGCGTCGTCTTGGGAATAATTACTAAGAAAGGAGCTTATGCCTGTGCCAACTAACTAACTTAGATCTACAATCAATAACAGATGAGTAATCAGATTCAATCATAAAGTATGTTAATAGTGGGAGGGGTCTGTGGTACAGCAAATAATATAGAACAAACTGTGCAGTCTATAAAAGTAGCAGTTTCTGCCTGATCCAAACTGGAGTGGTAATCTACCTTTTACTTATGAGAGTGTTTTAAAACTGGTTTAAACTTTATTAGTATTTTTGCAAGTGACTTGAAGGTGATGCATTCTTTGGGTTTAAGAAAAACACTTAACAGTTCCTAGCTTTGATGCTTCCTTCTGTGATGCATGCTTCCCTGCACACTATAATGAGTGAGCTGACTAGAAAATTGTGCAGCCTGGATGCTGCTATTTGTAGACATTTACTGAACATCATCATACCTGCCTTTATTCAGATTCCCAGTCTGTAGTTGAGGTCACTTTAAATTAGTATAAAATCAGTGAAAAGCACAAGGATAAATATTTCCCTTTTTTAATGAACACATTAGATGAACATAGAAACTTTCAAATCTTTTGATGCAGATGTTTTTGTCTTACTCATCATAAAAATAGAATTCATTCATCTTGTAAAGAACTGTTCTTAAAAGCAGCCTTTAATTTTTTTTAAATGAGTTATAAACAGTGAACAGAAAGATCATGTCCAAATAAGAAAATAAATTTCATGGAAGAAGGAAGAAGTGCACATTAAATATTTACTAGCTGTTAACCCAAAAGGATGATTTCCTTTAACTCTGTTTTCATGTCTCTTTCAGCAACTAAACTGGGACCCGAGGCCTTCAGATTTGACAGCGGAGCAGAAGCTACTGCTACAAGACTGAGTGACAGATACTACATCTTGCGACCAGAAGTCATCGAGAGCTACATGTACATGTGGAGACTGACCCACGACCCCAAGTACAGAGACTGGGGATGGGAGGCTGTGGAGGTGAGATCAATAATTAAGCATCAGTGCTTGTTTTAAAGGTCGGACCATTAGATTATCCCATAAAGGGTAAAGAACCTCCTTTGTGTTTTTTTGTTTTATTTTGTTTCATCCAATTGCTTTAGGGATAAGGAGATTCATTGTCTTATTGTGGTTCCAAAAATGGTTAAAAAAATTACTGGACTTGTTTTCCAAGTTTGAGGATTTTTCAGTTCCCATCCAGAAAGCTTTCTCAATTCAAATGTCTGAAGTAGTGTTGAGTTTCAGACTTATAGAGTCTTAATCAGTTTAAAAGGGATTATATACATTCTGAAAATTTGTTCTTCTTCTCTTCTCCAAGTTCTTCTCTGTTCAAAGACCAGAATTTAAAAGCAAATCATTTATCTTGAAGTGACATTAGAAAGGAAATAGACAAAATCTCTTGAAGTAACACAAAGCTGTATGACAATATCTGGACATTTATAGTTAACAAAAAGTTCAAATGCATGAAGCTTGACTTGGACATTATATTCAGAAGTGAGCCCAAACGGAGCAGCAGTAGTGCTCTAGTAGTGCTCTCTGGTATGTACGAGCAAAAATGTCAACAATGCTCCCTCTGAACTTTTCAAGAGCATTTTCCACCCTGTACAGAAGATCAACCAAGCTTCTGGACATTTTACCGTGAATAAAAAAAATGCTGCTTTTACATATCGTTCTGGATATTTGTTATTTTAGGCAGAAAATTACTGAATAACGTGACACTGTTTTTTATTAATAAAAGGTTAGCCTACACCTCAATTTGTTCTCCCTCCCAAAGATGAGTTTCGACTTTCTGATCTAGAAAATCCTTTCCTATATTTCTTATGAACATTTCCAGTTTAATTTAGCATTTAGATTTGAAGCTTTGCAGCATACATACGATTATGTAAAGTTGCTGTCTTAAATGTTCTCACCATTTCTTTAAATAGAATTGAAAAAAAAAAAACTTTAACCAGTGGAACGCTGTAATAATCCCATTTTATTTTTAATTGGGGGACAGAGCAGAGTACAATTTTGTTATCTGTATGTCTCTTACTGGTCAACTGAATTATCATTTTCAAGGCTGTCCTCACTTATTAAATCAAAGCCCTTTAACATGCTAAATTATCATAAACCAGCTCTCTTCATATTATGTAGCACTACACATTTGCTTGTAGAGCAGGCAATCCTGCTACCATGAGATGAAAGCACTATTATTAATGTGGCAATAGGCAGGATGTTAAATGCGGTAAACTTTAGAGAGCTGGCGTGAGAGAGTTATCATTAATTTAACTCTCACAAGAAGAGGAAAGATCAGGCTGATGAGTTTGACAGGCCTATAATTATCAGGCACAAAGGTTGGAAGCGGTGTGCAACACTTCTGCTCAGGAACATCAAGCATTAACACACCAGGGTCGTTGTTAATTAGCACGTATAAGAAAGCCCCTTTGTAGCAAGGATGATAATGAACTAATCCGCTTGGCTAGCTTAGCCACTCTCCATTCACCCATGTCAGGTTCAACATTGCTTGGACCTTAGCTGTGATGCTGGCTGAGCGGATTGTCATGTTTTACAATTTACATTTCCTGTAGACGTGTGTGCTGTGGTTGATCAAATCATTAGTTTTTTGTTAAATTAAACATATTTGCAGAAAACCAAAAGAGAGTTGCTTTAGCTGTACAGTTTACAGCAAAACCTCAGACTTTAAAGTATTTCAATGGGATTTTACATGATACAGCATAAGATACTGTAGGGTGTCCAACTTTGAGTTAAATGAGGATTCATCATTTATTTACAGATATAAATAGAAAATTCCCCACATTTCCTGATTTTGTTTTCATCCATCAATCCTTGATATCTGCATGTTCATAAGAAGGAGTAAAGGAAGCCAAAGGACCCCAAGAGAACGTATGCATGTAAAAGGTGTAGACACCAGGCCGAGATTCAATCAAGGAGGCAACTGTGCTACCAAACTGTAACCTGTTGTTTTCAGAGTTCATCCATCCATGTGTAATTTCACCTCGGTATAAATTAAGCTGGTCTGTCTCAACAGTTTGTTAGAGAACATTAGAGAACAGAAAGCATCGCCAAGACCAAGAATCACAGCAGACGTGTTAAATTATACATTTTGGACCACAATTAAAATGTTGCATGGAGGAAAACTAACACTGCATAAACATTATCTCCACTGTGAAACAAAGAGTAAAACTAAGAGAATTGCCTTTGGAGGTTGTAAAAGACAGAGATCGGGTTGAATGACCCTCAGTATTCAGAGGAGTATGTTGAATGGTTAACCACAAAGCATGCTCATGTTAGAATGGTCCAGACCTACTAATCCAAGGATTTGAAGCAATATTTGATATTCATAAATGCCCTATATTCAGTATGACTAAGTTTAACAAAATATTTCTCTAGATGTACAGTAAGATACTAAATTTGCAGCTAAAGGTGATAGAGTATGAATACAAGTGCCTAGGATAATTTGCAGTTAAAAAAAAAATTACATTCATTCCTCCTCCTCATCATGTTTGTCTGTCACAAACTGCAATAAAATACTTTGAGGATTGTGGTTGTTCCTGACAATCTGAAAAAACAATATGAACTTTTGCAAGGTGCCGTGAAGATTATTGAGTTTGTGCGGTCAGGCTTTAAATGGTCTTGATTTGTCATTCACCTGTAACCTGACCCTTCCTACCTCCTGTTAGGCTCTGGAACAGCACTGCAGAGTGGAGTCTGGTTTTTCGGGGATCCGGGATGTTTATACCATGACAGCCAGCCACGACAACATGCAGCAGAGCTTCTTCCTGTCAGAGACACTTAAGTAAGTCCCAATTGCTTTTTTAAATCTTCCCACTGCTGAGAAGAAGGTGATTGTAGGATTATGCACCACCTTTCATCTGCATGAAAGTAATACCAAGTCAGAACCTGAACACTGGGGATTCATCTTTACTTTGTATCTGTTCTGCCTACGAAGCACAATCGTGACAGGAATCAAACAGACACAATCTCTGCTTCAGATGTTTATCAAACTTTCAATGACAGACTTTTAACCCTTCAAGGAAGATTTAAAATATTTGCAGCCATTAAGCTACATGAACCACTCAGTGTAGCTTAAAATGTATAAAATAAAATAGTGTTTTTTCTTAAGTTGACAGCAGTGGGAACCTTCAGGTCAGTAGTCAGAAGACAGCACTGCTGCCACACTCAGTGCTGCACTGCTCCTAACATGGATGCTCCTTTTAAAGTAACTAATCGTGACTGGGAAGAAATCCCTAATGATGAATAATTTATATTTTATATCAGAGTAAGGGCAAAGCATTGCAGGCTGACAACTGGGGAGGAGGTTCTTAAACATGTTCAACATCAAGAAAATATTCTGTTTAAATGACTCTTGTGAAGATGCAAGAAGGCAGTTGCAACAGGACAAGCTTTTCCTTCACATAGAATAAATAGGTCAATGAGGTCAAAGGATGATAAACCAGTGCAAAATCACTACAGCTGGTTTGCTTATAGATGGTACAGCAACCTCTGTGACCAAACACAATTTATTTTTGTTGGTTTTGGATATTAGATACTTTTCCACTTTTTTATTTAACTAAATCAATTTAACTAATGCTTTCTGCTTAACTTAAATTAGCAGCTAGACCCTTGTAGATGTCATACTTCAGCATTATCAGAATATAATTTACACCATGTACCATGTAATAATATTATCTCTGGTAAAGTGATGTTGAGTGATGTTTTGATATATTTTCTACTAAAATATTAACATAAGAAGGGGAGCTATGTTTTTCATAAATTCATTCAACTGTGCTAAACTTTTCCTCTTTTCTAACGATTTATTGTCCTTACACTGTGACAAGTAGAGCTCAAGAAATTCATTCTATGCAATTCATTCTTCCCCATGGGAAGCAGTGGGCTGCCATTTTTGGTGCCCGGGGAGCATTGTGGGGTTTAAGGGTCTTTGCTCAGAGACCCAGAGTGGCAGTCTTTGGGAGTGGGTTTCAAACTCACAATCTCAGGATTCCAAGCTCTATATGCCCTTACCACTAGGGCACTGACTCCCCAATAAACTAACAGTAAAAAACTAATAAAAAATTAAATAGGAACCGAAATAAAGAATTAACTCAACAGAAAAGACTAGAAAAAGAAAAGACTGTGCAGAAAGTGCAAAAAATAGTGGCTCTAATCTGAAGTACACTTGGAAAAGGTAATTAAAAACCCATATTAAAAAAAATAATGTCTACTTAGTTTGTCACAGCTTGGATTGAGGTTCTCTGACATTAATAAAAGTTCATATCATGGTAAATATGATTCCCCCTTTGCTAATTCATACTTCCATGTTTTTCCTATTTGTTTTACATTTCTATATATTAGGTAATTGCACATAGTTTACCAATTTTTTTAACCCTACTTAATTTAGCAAATTGCTTTGAATAGATTTAATATATTATAATTGGACATTTTGATTTTGTATTTATTCATTTTATCTTTATCTGATAGTAAAAGTAGTTTTATCTGAAATATTTATGTGTCCAAAAATGAAGAAAACAAGGAATGACCAGTAGATTTCTTTAGCTCCTTCTCTACTACATAAACACTAATTTGGGGTAATGCATTTTGAATAAAGCTGTTTTTTGTTGTTTGTTCAGGTATCTTTATCTGCTCTTTTCTGACGATGACCTCCTCTCTCTGGAAGACTGGGTCTTTAACACCGAAGCTCATCCGCTGCCTATAATCCGTAAGAGCTGCCTGCAGGATGAAGTAACAGAAGAAAAGACCGTCTCTGAATAAAACCACTCACCAACCAAGACGTAGATAATTCTGCACAATTTATGTGTGCACAGTCAAACAAAAGTTGCAAATACCAATTCAGTGCAGATTCAGGGTCTTATAAGGAGTGTGTGGTTGACTCCCTGTTCCTTTCAAGTAAAGGATGTTGTCGTTTTATGCTGTGATTGTATATCCTTTCGCCGAGGTTCCTTCCTACTGGCACTTCTTTTTTGCGGACAATCAAAACAAACATGACTTTCATGAAGAGATACCTTTTTCTTTCCTTCTTTCCTCTGTGAGGAAACCACTTTAACGTACAGACCCAAATGTATGGGAGAAGGTTTGAACTATGGGCTATACTGTCAGAGAGATACGAACCACTTGATTTTCGATCATTATTTTAGTTTACTTTTACTGATGACGTTTTCCCTTTAGACTTACTTCTGCTTTTCTTTTGTGAACTCTTTAGCCAAAGGTTCTATCTGTCGCCCTCTTTTAAAGTAAACTGTTTTGATGAAATTTAAAGGAAAGAGTGAAATAATGTACAGATAAACACAAAATGTGACTCTCTAATCCACCTCGAAACTAATTTTGATGTCATGTTTCTTATTGAAACAAGGATGAATGCATTTTTTTAAAGGACAGAGATGTCAGGAAAGAGGCTTTGTCTTATGCATCCAGGGACCACTTAAAAAAATGTGTTTCCAGTCTATGCTCTGGTAATTTTTTTGTTTTCCCAACAGAACCGTGTTTGCTTAGCCTTTCACAATACAATGGAGCACTCTCCGTCCTTTCACTGTAAAAACAAAGCATCAAGAAAAAAATGAAGACATCTGTGAACTAGCTTCAGATGCCTTTTCTTTTGGGAGTTTTCCTGCCTTCACATACAGCCACAGTGATGTTGCAGGTTTTTAAGCTGCAGAGACAAGCTTTTATTTTCTATCACTGTTCTGTTAACAGTTGCTCTTCTGCACAGTCGTGGAGTGAATGTGCTATATATACAGACGAAGTGAGTGGCACCTGTGTGAGCTTTGTCTTTTCTTAAGTTTCTGTCTCTTTTTCGTTATCTTTTTCTAAAACTTCAGTCATTGTTTTTCTGGGTTCTCTTTAATTTGCTTCCCTCAGGTGTTTCAGTAAAAAAAAAAAAAAAAAAAAGTCTAATTTTAAGTCTAGTTATTGCTGATATTAATTATTGTTATGACCAATTCTTACTGTTTGATTTTATTTTGATTGTTAAATATTTTCAAATACTGATTAAAAAGAAACTGTGCAACTTTGTACATTTAAAGCAATCACATTTGTTGTGTCGTTCTTTTTAGTGCGCTTGCTTACATGCACTTGCATTTGTGTTTTCATACTTATTCACCTCTTATTGCAGGAAACATCCTGCAACCACAAAAAATAAATGCCACTTATCTGCCTTTTATATTTCCTTTCACAAGATTCATTGGAGGTTTAATTAAAAAGGGGACTTTTTAGGGTTGAGGAACCATACAGCAATCATAAACAGAAATGACTATGTTTAGCCGCTGCGCCTCACACAGCGTGACTAGTCAGCAATTTGAGACTTCATATCATCTGCTCCGGTTAACTTAGCATCAGCTGCTGCCAGCTGAATCCTAATTTCAGCGTATGAACCTTCAGGTAATTTCACATCCACTCATAATGCGTAAAACATGCATTATTGCCATTTAATTGTAATTTAATGGGGGTACCTATCAAATGTCATGGATCTTGTAAAAACTGTTTAGCGGTGCAAGCTCTGATTGTCTATTAAGGAAATGTTATCCATGTTATATCCTGCAGCTAGTATATGATTACAATATTCGCCATTAGATAAGCCATGTTAATGGAAAGAAGGTGACAATGTGAATGACACCATTCAAACACCTGACGCCATCTTTGTGTTTGTCTTCGGTTCCTCAGTAAGCCAAAGCAAATTTTGAGAAAAGATGCTTCAGAATTTAAAAGAATCAATGTCTATCGATTTTCTCTTGTTGTCCGTATAAAAAAAAACTTTTGCATATTCTAAATAGATGTTTCGGCAAACTTTTACTGCAATCATTTAAGCACAGAACATCTTATGTAGAAATAAATCACATCCAAAAGAATAATTTCAACCCCCTCCAAACTATGTTGTTGATTGGAATTAGATAATTTAAGCTCAATGCAAACTTAAAATCCTAATCTTTACCAATAAGTGAATACATCAAATTTCAGGGCCTGAAGTTACTGAAGTTACCACTGCTTCTGAGCAAGGATGACACAGAATTTGCCATTTTCAGTTAAAATTAAGTTAAATTTAACTTTGAATTTAAGTTAAAAATTAATTCAGAGGAGGCATAAGGAAGGTTAGGCTTTTTGTCAAGCAGAGGTCAGAGTGCCATCTACTGTGGTCAACCAGGATTATTTAGTCATTAATTCGACCCTGTTAAGTTGCATAGGTGAGTTTTTGAGAAGAGCTGCCCCACACGTAGCATCATTATGCGGAAAATGCTATTGACATTAAAAATATTTTTTATATTATTTGAAATTCAGCAAATTATTTGTTCAAAATTTACAGAGCTCTTTTAAAAATGATGATTTTGTAATAATTGAATCTCTGCTTCTGAAAAATATCTATAGAGAAGAATTCCTCACATTGGGTCGCTAGTCATTTTATTCGTTCATATATAGGTAGAGAATCTGTCTGGTGCTACTATAAAATTCTTATCAACGCTGTGTTTATTTAGGGTAGTTTGTACCAGTTTTATAAAACACCTTCAGTCAGGGTTTTTTCAACACCAGAGAAAAACTAACTAGATAAAAAATATTTTTGTTGAATCTTAGAGTACCATGTCTTAACCATCATGAATGAAACAATTAAATGAACTTATTTTCACAGTGTCATCAACATTGCATGTTTAATGGTTTGAGATGAGAGGACTATTTTAGCGAAAATTGAAAAATGGAATTGATGGAAATTAGACATTTAAGTATCATGGGCTCAACAATACTATACATAATAACCTCAGGATAATTATATTGCACTGATGGTATTTAACCACTTTGAAGTCCATGAACCCCTTAAATAAATGTGGGTACATTGAAGAATTTTAGTATTTCTTTTTTATATGTATTATTTTGTTTGTCCTGGAAAACCTGCTTGTTAATTAAATTAAATTCAGTTTATTTATATAGCACCAGTTTACAACACATGTCATCTCAAGGCACTTTACAGTTCACCAGATCATACAGCCAATTTGATTCAAAGATTTCTATCCAAGGAAAACCAGTTGATTGCATCGACTCATTGACTCAAAGGCAATCCCTCACACTAAGCATGATTGTATAGTAGCGACAGTGGAGAGGAAAAACTCCCTTGTTACTATCTGGTGATAAAGTATTCCATTAGCTGGTTTTCCAATTGATACCCTGCCCTTTGCCCAGAGACTGCTGAAGGTAGGCACAGCCCCCACGCCACCCTGACAGAAATGCAGGAGAAGATAAATTGATGGATGATTTGATAAATTATGGAATAATTATGGATCTTTATTACTACAGGGTAATACTTTAATTTTAGAGCATGTGTGAAAAAATATTGGTCCCTGTTCTTGATTTAGATTTAAAAAAGACATATTTTTGACTTTTTTGAACGAAAAATCAGCCCCTCAAATTTTCTTCTTTTTAACATTCAGACTTCAAAAAGAGTCAGAAATACCCCAATAAAAATGTACAAACTATGAAAACTATTACAAACCTTTATTTCTAACTTTTATTAAGAACCAACAGCAAAAACCTTTTCTACTGAACAGTTTTCAACTTATATCAACTTCTTCCAGACAACTCTTTTCAAATAACAAGTACAACTGAAATGTGTCCCATTTCTATCACTGACATTTAACCTGGCATTTGATCTAACAAGATCTCATAATATTCCCCTCAAAATTCAGCTGCTGCCTGCCATCCATGCTGCTCACAATAGCTGCTCACTTTCCACCAACAAAGACTGCTTTGAACCTAAGAACTCTGAGATCGCTGCGTAGCTGCATATGGAGTTAGATCTTTATAACTTAAGAAACAAAAATAGTAGATAAAGACAGAAGAAAGCTTTGCTTTGTGATGGGACATATTTAGTCTTTTTATCCCTAGCCTCTCACCTTCCTAGCTCCACCTTTGACAGATATCAAGGACCTTTCTTCAAAAATATTCAGATGTATTTTGGGATTACTTCTTTATACCATGCTGTTTCCAAAGTAAACATCTTCAACTGTTGCTATCTCACACAAACTACATAATGTTAAAGTTATTAAGAGGGACAGCTTGTCCTTGCATCTTAAGTTTTTAAGTACTAAAATTGTCAGGTAATGGAATAAAATCCTCACATTCACAAGGAACAGTTTTTTCTACAAATGTAAAAACATCTTATTGTTCCTGGTGGAATAAAAATTAAATACAACTTTTAAAAATATTACTCCATATCACATACAAAAATAAGTCCTGCAAACAACCAGCACAGTAAATGCATTATAAAACCTAAGAATAAGGGGAATTTTACTGATTTTTCTACGGAGGGAAATTGTGAGAAATGCATGGAATGATTTTTAAATAAATGGACAGCTAAATCTTAAGACATTTTATTTTTATTAAATAGACTATATAAAATGGGCTTTAATAGGAATATTATTGTAGATGATATACAATGGAGACATGGTATTCAGCCACTACTGTATGTCCACTCTCACAGCCATAACAATAACAACAGCACTGTTGTATGCAGTACCATCTCACTCAGACACACGGCCCCATTGTAAATCAGGAGTTTGAACTGTGTGCATTTTTCAAAAGCTTTTCAGTGTTATCGAAAATAGTCGCTTGATGTATGCAGCCTAACTGATGCAATTACAGCAGTAAATCTTGCCTGTGCCATTATTAGCTTTCCAAAAAAAGTAAAAAGAAAAAATAAGAAAAAAAAAGAAATCCACTGGACATTGTATCCAAGTTTAAAGACGTTTTGCTTCCCATCCATGTTCCCATCCCATCCATGCTTTTTAAATTCAAAATGTCAGAAATAGCGTTGAGTTTGAGGTTTAGAGAGTCGACCAAAAACAAAGCCTTGTCTTGGCTTTGAAAACATGCAATTTATCCAGATGAACGGGTCCGCCCCTTACTCGTTTGGCTTCTTTGGGAACATAGGGACATTGAAAGGTCCCTATGCTAAATGAGCTATCATTAGGAGGCATCCTGCTTTCTCTTCCTACCTCCTTCCTTACTGCTAACACTATTCAAATAGCACTTATCACCACCACCCTGATGCACTTCTACTTTGACTTGTATTCCTACTGTTTTTCACTTTTCAAATGGACCAAGTGAACGCAGACAAAAAAAAAAAAATCAGAAGGCAAGTGATTATTTTTGGCGCTATCCAACTAGACACCTGTATACAAGTGCATGCCACAGTTTTTAGGTGTATGGTATGGTTTTGAAAATCATGGTCCATTTTCATTTACTGGTAACTTTAAATTATCCACAGTATAAAGCTGAGTTTAATGTAGCTTATTCACATTAAATCTCAAAATGCATTTTGGTTATAACAACACAAGACAAAAACCTTTAAAGCCTAGGAATAGCTTCAAGACACTAAACTTTGTGACTTCTTACAGAAGTCCAGCTTTAATAACTTGTAAGCTTTTCAAACTCAGAACAGAAGGATCCAAAATTCAAAGCAGACAAAAAGGTTTCTCAAAGCGCTTATTGAAAAACTGAGTCAGAGTGAGCGGCATCTGTGTCTAAGGCAGGAACCTCTGGTCGTATAGTTCGTTCCAAATCCAGAGGGTGAAGCCAAAGATGGTGTCTGGAACGTTCTCGGTTGTCCAAGCCAGGAGGTCAGAGATCTAGTGAGGTACCGAGGGAGAATCCAGGACGGAGTCGGGTCACAGTTCCAGGTACGGTACACAAACAGGCAGAAATCTGGCAGGAGTCATAAGACAAGTCAGATGGGAACAGACAGGCCCACATGTCAGGAGGCAGAACAGGTCAGGAACAGGTAATCAAAATGCAGGAACTCTAGAATAAGTCTCACCAATCCCTAGAAATAATCTCAGGTCTGAAGGTTTGTTAAATAGAGACTAATGCAGGCGGATCAGATAAGCAGATTATAAGAACTGGGCGGGGCTAAGTGTGAAATGAGTAATCAGACCAGGCATCAGTACCAAGATAATGATAGAGCAAACTGCAATACATATCGTTTTATTTTTTAAGAAACGTATCATTAATATGTTATTTACATGGACAGG